TTGCTTTGCCTGTAAAATACACTTAAACCAGTAAATGTTTTTTTCTTAATAATGTACTGTGTAAAAATAATTTGATGCTATAAAGATCCCAGATCCTAAAATTTTGCTGTTTTTTAAATTAATTTAGTGTAACAAAGACTGTCAATTCATTTTACATAGCCAGCTTCCAATCCTCTCTTTATCCCTTAGAGAAAACGGGCTCATGTACACTTTCCTTGTATTTAATTTTTCCCTCATGAGGTCCACTTATCACATTTGTGTGGATTTATATATAACATTTTCATTTTCCAACCTATCTTTATCCCTTAGAATTAAACATGCTGTTTTCTTCTGTTTCTGTGCCTTTAAGACTGATATGTAAATGATCTCTGTTCTGATTGGCTGCCTTCTATCGTGCCTCATTCAAAGAGCAGCCACAGAAACATTAACAGAAATGCTCCTTATAACTTCACTGTGAATGGTTGAGGCTAAATTACTGTGAGCTGAATGTGGATATATGGGAATGAGTTCTCATGACATCATAATTCAAAATAAACTGTTTTTGCAGCTCACTTTCCACATATGGATACTGACGGGGGAGTAAACAATGTTTCCATACTACATCAAACACTTTTATTTCAAAAAAGCAAGGAAGATTCAGTTTTCCAGGATGTGAGCCCTTTAACTTAAGAAAGTAAGTAACCTTAGAAGTAAAAGAAACCTTAAAATCCAGATTTCATTGAGTCTTATTAGTTAACAAAAGTTAATGAGTTAGTTGCTCTGTTAACTGTTTGATGTCCTATTAAGTTAAAAAAAGAATATTTTTACAGTTTGTTCTTGACTTCTTGATACTATTTCATAAACCTCATTTGAATCTTTCAGTGTGTGTACAGTTACTTTGCCAACTGAGTCTAGAAGGTTATTTTTTTAATCCTCCTTAGATCAAACTTAGCGGCAGCAGGTTATGTGTAGTTTGACTCTTCAGACACCAGAAATTGCCAAACTTTTACTGTGTGTTTAAAAACACAAGCCACAGATATCATCAATGAGGTGAGATCAAAGTAAATAATTGATAAATGAATGGCAGCACTTTGAAGTTCTGCCCACGTTCCTTTGCATTTGAATATGGTCTAAATAAAAAAAGTAATGCATAATTTACAACTTCTGGGAAAATCAAAGTGTCCAATAAAAGATTTAAAGTCTGTATTATCCTGTCAGGTTCAGACATATACTGTCACACAGCTTTGGAAACCATGCCTAAGCTCATGGTTTTGTTGTTTTCACAAAGCACTCCAGTGCAGGATTGAGTTTGGCCTCAGTTCTACCGTCTTGTTGTGTTGTTGCGTTTTGTCTGGTTCCCCTGACCACAGCACTTCTACAGGCTGAGTGGACAGTCCCTTCTTGCTCATGCAATGGACAGTGCCCATACTTGGCAAATTAAATCATCTTAACTATAGTCAAGATATTCAGTATTACTCATTTTCAGACTGTTGCGAGCAGGGGGCAAATGTTTGTGGGCCAAAAAGACAAAAAGATATAAAAATAAAGAAAGCAGGTAAGTTTCAGAGTTTTTGAAATATATTTTATATAGTCACTCTAGATTGTTACCAAAATACTTCAAAAATACAGATAGAAAACAAGAATTTAAGGAGTTGTATATTGTTTAAAAGTGTGTTCTCTCATTGGGTGAGGGGGTGGAGGTTAGGGTAATTTTCTGGTGGGCCTTATCAAGTGTATTCACAGGCCAACTTTGGGCATACTTTAAGCAGAGCTGGGCTTAACCCATACTCAAATGTGTTGTTACTTCCATGAAATAATGACTCAGGAAGAAGTAAATGTACCTTTACAAATGAGTGACCTGAATAGACGTACACATAGCAGTCTCTATCAGTCTCTATTGTCTGTCAGCAAATGAAGTTCATTCATAGCTGTTCTCTTCTTTTAAGTGCACTCTTCACTCCCAGAGAAAAGGTGGTAATTTTTACTGTTCAGGGTACAGATGATGCCCACAATTGACCCCCTATTACCTGTCTTGACTCTGGGCTTTTTAGTTTCATTTATTATATTTTTCTACTTTAAAAAAGTTAAGTCATGAAAAGGTACAAACATGTCCCGTTTCCCTGTGAAAGTGAACGTAGGTCACCTTTAACCCTGATTTAATGTACAAAATTGCACCTTAATGACCATGTTGCACCTTTGAGGGTACATCTACATTGTCTGTGGATTAGGGGACCTGTAGTGTACCCTTTTTTCTCACAGTGTTGATCTGCAATAATAAAATCAGGGGCGCCCACACTTTTTGTCTTGGTGGGCCGAAGTGCAGTGTTTGTGGTGGACCAAGAACCAAAAAAACAAAACAATGTACAAATACAAATTGTAGGTAGGCTTCAAACTGAGTGTTTATTATTTATTTTATGACATTACACTATATTTTTGTTACTAAGACACCCCAAAAATAACTTTCTGGTGGACCAAATCAAATATCCTCATTGGTCAGCTTTGGCCTGCAGGCCGCACATCGGGCATCCCTGGGCTCAATCCAAAAGCATTGTTATTTCTTCTCAAGTAAAAGTAGACTCTTAAAAATTATGGCTCTAGAATGTGCTGCAGATGGTTCTATATAGCACCAAAAGGGATCTTTTTGAGCTCTTTTGGGTGCTATATAGAACCCTTTTAAAAAGGTTCTATTTAGAACCATCTACAACATGTTCTCCATCAATCTGAAGAACCATTCAATAATTCAAAGAACCCCTTAATCATGCAAATGGTTCTTTGAGCGTTCATGGTTCTATATAGAACCATTTCCTTTACTAAAGAACTCTTGAAGAACCGTCTTTTTTAAGTGTATCCTTTGCTCCTTTTGTAGAAGTACAAAAGTAGCAGCTCATCAAATTTAGCCCCTTAAACTTCCAGGCTTATTGCATCCTCAGGCTTATTATTCAGTAACTACAGGGACCATAATATGAAGAGTTATAGTTAAGTTACAGAACTGTGTAATAACATTTCCTGGCCATTTAACAGTACAGAGAAGCTTACAGAACTGCAGTGAAACTTCTTACTACATCCAGCATCTATCAGCAGAGGAACTAAAGTTTGGTGCTATTCTTCTCCTTTTAAGATCTTTATTGGTCCAACAAAATATACTAAAGCTCAAAGGTGAGCAGTGTGACCAATATTAAAGCTGTCCAGGAGCGGTCAGCCTCAGAACAGAATGAAATTAAACACACAAAAAAAGAAAAAACAAATGAAGAAAACGGAAAGAAAAAAAAACTGTAAAGAAAAAATGGAACTCAAGAAAAGGTAGACCTCTTTTCTCACAAATACATTTTAGTATAAATAAAAATGTTTTATCACATAAATTGTGCACCTACGTCATAATTGCACACTGATGTGAGTAGATGGAAGTCCATCGCAAAATAAGGTATCTTTACAAGTCAAAACACCTTAAATCTACTATTAAAGATATAAGATATCTTATATTATGAGACCATTGTAAGAGCTGCTTAGAATAATTTTATCTAGGGATTTTTTTAATATTGACAGATTTTTGCTTCAAGAAAAAAAAACAATAAATCAAACATTTTCACCAGATAAAATGACTTAAACAAGTAAGAAATATCTACAAATTAGTAAAACAACTTTATTCCCAGGGCTGCCCAAAGTTTGGCCTGTGTGTGAAAGTTGGTTGATTTGACCCTCTACACATTAGCCTTAACCCTACCCCTCACCCAGTGAGACAAAAAAACAGATTTTTCATTCTATGTAACTTACTAAATTATTTTCTTTATTAACTTATTTTCTTTTTTGTGCTTTTAAGTAAGTAGAAACAAAATACAGTCATGAAAACTCTATTTGCAGCCAGTCCACCTCATTTGTTTGCATATTGTTTCATTTTTTAGGCCCTCGGCTCACCACACACATTACATTCTGACCACAAAACAAAAGTCTGGGAATTTCTGTTCACGACAGTCTCGAAATGAGTCATATTAGATATCGACTACATTTAAAATGATTCACTTGCCAACATATCAATTTATTCAGTGTAGGTAGCGTCCACTGCCTGCCACCCACGCTGCAGAAGTGCTGTGGTCAGGGAAACCCCGCAAACACATCAACACAACAAGATGACAAGCTGAGGTCAGAGTCAATCAAGCTCCGGAAATTGACTCTGATATATATATATATTTTTTATTTTAAAGATGGTTCTTCAAGGGTTCTTTTTAGAACCATGAGTTCTATATAGAACCTTTTTTATGCTTAAATCATTCTTTACATGGTGAAATTGTCATTCAGAAAGAGAATGTATTGTATATGGTTCTGTATAGAACCTTTTTGAAAATGGTTTTAGATAGCACCAAAAAAGCTTCTTTTCTTGTTACATGCTTGTAACAACAGAACCCTTTTTAGTGCTATATAAAGCCATTTTCAAAAAGATTCTATATAGGACCACATAAAACACATTCTCCATCAGTATTATGAAGAACCATTTCACCATGCAGCAGAATCCTTGTCTTTCCTAAGGAACCCTTGAAGAACCATCCTTTTTAAGAGTGTACCTACCTTCCGTTTTTTGTATGCTGTCTTTTTGGCCCTTGGCCCAACATAAACATTGCCCTTTGCCCCCACTCCCCCAAGACAAAAAGTTTGGGCACCCCTAGTTTAGGCTTTTCTGCCCACCTTCACTATTTAACCATTTACTGACTAGAATGGAGAGAAAGGGCATTTACTGTGATCACACTGAATGATCCATCTCTCACACGCTGCCTGTGCAGTGTGTGTGTTTATATGTCAGTGTGTGTGTGTGTTAGAGCGCGTGCGCGCGGGGTCTCGGGGCGGAAGAAGCCGGAGCGCGCGTGGTGTGAGGGGGCGGGTCCTGCCCCTCTCCGGGGGGAGGATGAGGAGGGCTAAAAGGGGGGGGGGTAGGTGTAAGCGGGCCTAGAAGGTAAATGTCGCAAAGCGCAGTGTCGTAAACCAGGTGCAGGGGAGGAGGGGAGGTGCAGTGGAAGGCAGGAGGGAGGGAGGGAGGGAGGTGTGTGGAGCGGAGGGGAGGTGTGGGGGCGAGAGGAGGTGACTCTCCGGCAAGCATTTACACACACACACAGCGAAAGGATCATGGCGGATGGCCCCAGGTGTAAGCGCAGAAAGCAGGCGAACCCGCGGCGAACGAGCGGTGAGTTAAAAACACACGACTCCTCTCTTTCCACCCGCCGACCTCTGTGAGCGGAGCCGCCGAGCCCCGCGTGTCTGTAACGGCAGTGCGTGTTTTCCTTTGACTCAAGTCAAACTAGTGGAAAAGTAGCGCTCGCGCTGTACCGTTATACCTGCGGACCGTTAGACGGAGCCGGTCCCTCGGTATAAAAGCAGGCGCTTTTGTTCAGCCCTTTTTCTCTCCACTCTCTGTTCTTTTTCACTTTTAAAGTCCTCCAACACTAAATCAGCACTGTCTTACTCAACATGTGTATGTTTATTTTTGTCGTTTTTTCCTCCTCTCACCGACTCAAACTTATTCGCCCTAAATGTACCTGTTTGTGGTCTACGCCCTCCCGACTTTCATACGGAGAAAACGGGGGTCGAAATGTCATCAAAATATTTGTCTGAACGTGTTTAAATGGGTGTTTTTTGCTAAACGGTGCCGTTTTTGCCCCGTGTAAACTTATCTCCAGCGGGCTGTTCCGCTATAGCCTGCGTGGTAGCAGGTAACGTTAGCTAGCGAGCTAACACTCAGTCAGTGTTGAGGAGAAACGGCACGGCTCCGGAGCGAAAATCTCTCTCAGCTTTTCACTCATTTTACACAAGTTGCACACACAGGGACTTTTCCTGAAGTCGACCTGCTCGATAAACCGACGTGTTTTCCTTTCAGAACGTAAGAAGGTGCCAGTTTTAGCCGAGCCTCAGTAACTGTATGAGAGATAACGGTGGGTTAACGGACACGCGTTGCTGCTGCATTGAAAACACATATAACAGTCGCACCCAAGACGAGCGAAAGAAGAAAAAAGTCCGCACCGTGTTTATGTCAGCCTGGAAAGTTTGTCGAAAGTTTTCGATGCAAAGTAAGGGCGTGTTTGACGCCACACGTGTTCCTTTAAGCATCTTTTAGCCCTTAAAGGAGATATATGGCAGAAGGCAACCTGTTTTTTTGTTGGCTGTAGGCTGCCACATTGCTGGCTGGCTGGGTGGTAACGGCTGAGGAGGGAAGGACTGGGAGTCCGAGTGCAGCAGCCTATATAAGGAATGCATCCATACTGATGGATCACACTCAGGCTTGGGCGAGGAGAGGCTCTTACTGCTGGACACTTAACACAGCCATTACTGAACTTGGCTTTTTTTCTGACTACTGCGCTTTTTTCTGCATGCTCTCAAAATTTGGCGTTCACGCAGCTGCAGCTGTTGGTTCTGGTTTAACTGCCTTGCTCTCACCAGCCATGCCTATTTGTTTACATTGTTTAAAGTTTTTGAGACTTAGCTCCGTGCTTTTTCTGTATTTTTGGGGTATGCAGGGTAGCCTAGACTTGTTTATAGGCTAATGCGCACGTTATTGGGAGATGTAGCGTTAGCTGAGGGATGAGTCGCTGTGCTGGCACATTTCTCCACCGTGGTCACGGTGAGGTGTTGCGTTAGTGCTCGTGCTGCTCGGCTGTTAGGTCTCCATCGTTTCCCCATAAATACTTTCTTTAAAAGTCACTCACGCCTTTACACGGGTTGCTTCGTTCTCCAGTGGTCTACTTTATGAAGCGGGTCTGCTGTGAGGGAAGCGTTTCGCGCGCCGTGTAGCGGTGCTGCTCCGCGCGCAGGCTGCGTGCACCTGATCGGAGGGAGGTAACAGCGCGGAGGGGGGGTTTGAGATAAAAAAAAAAAGAGGCACATACAGCACATAAAGCATCGCCAACACCGTGCAATCGATTTCTATGCGCTGCAGCTGAAGTCGCGGACGCAGGAGGATCGTTTTCTCAGAAAAGCGTGTGCTTTTTTCATTTTGCCAGCAGCTGGAAGGCGTCCATCGCGCCTTGCACCAAAATGTCAACTTGTGCAGGTAGAAAAAAGACGGTTTTGGTGTTTTTCGCATGCTGTCGGTCGCTCTTGGTGTCGTTTAATGTATCTGCTGCGTTTCGTGCCGGCTGATCTAACCATCATAGAGCTCGCAGAGCGCAGGAAACGTGTTGTTGCGCTGCTTTGGTTTGTTCATCCACCCTTTTACCTGCCGTTAGCGGTGAACAGAGACATGCTGGAAACGAGCGCTCGGAGGTGGAGGAGGTGTTAGCATGGTGTACTTTAGCAGTGCTGCGGTCTGGGTTCCTCCCTTGATGCTATAACTGTGTGGTTAGTGGTTAAACCGGGCAGTGGACATAGAGAGGGCTCAGGTACAGAGACGCACCTGAGCCACGCGAAACACCCGATTTAGTAGCGTTATTTAATAGACATTTAACTCTTTTTGAATCTGAATCTGATACATATATATATATATATATATATATATATATATATATATATATACACACACACACACACACGGAAAAACCCATTTTGCTGAATAAAGTCCCTTTGCGGGGAATATCGTAATGAAGTTAGTTTCATTTTGATAACGACATTGATAACAACAACAACAACAACAATAATAATAATAATAATAGTAGGCTAATAATATTTAAAAAATAAAGTTTTTGTTTTATATATTCACAACAGTATGCTTGTTGCAATATGCAAATACAACAAGCGTAAATTAAATTGGCAGCGGAACAAAGGTTGCTTGAAAGCTGAAGTGAACGTGTTCGTTTTTTACCTTATGGAGCTGAGTAAGGTACAGAATTCACTAATGACGGATTTCCATTGGCTGCTGCGGTGATTTGAAAGGCGGAGCTGACTCATACTCACCTCTTGGATTGGATGACGATGCCTGCGTCATTAACATAGGCCCCGCCCCCGCGTCTACGCCCGGAGCGCTGATGATCAGATGAATGATTAGAAGGTGGCTGTTAGTGAAATACTCCTATCAGCAGTCAGCTTCTTTTTCCTGTGGAAGTGTTTAGCTCCTCTCTAATGAAAGTCATTCATATATTTTTTTACAAACTTCACACAGTTGAAAAAGGCTTTTCTTTATTTGTATTATTTGTTTATGGAACAGTCTAATATTCATATCCACATTGACTGTTGTGGAAACCCAGTAATTTGAACTCACAGTCCTAACCCTTCACAAAAGATCAAAAATCCAGCAGGCCCATGTGATTGTAGGTTTGGTGGCCAGTGGCCTAGTGAGGAAAGCACCTCCCAAACTCTCACAAGTGGTCACAGCATGGCTGACTGAGCCTCAGGAGGTGTTCTGAGGTGTTTCAAGCTTTGTGCTGACAACTGACCATCTGACTCCCATTTGAAAACAAATCTCCCTTTAACCAATCCCAGGACTCAGTGATCATCTATTAGGCGACGTAGTTAGCTGCATATACACTAGCATTCAATGTGTTGGTTGTAGTATTGAACCAAAGTGTATCCTGAATATAACCTGTTGTTAGGTTCTGGTTAGATTATGATTCTGTATCTTGTCACAGTGCTCCCTGCCAAATGGCAGTAAGAGAAAAAAGCAGGGGGGGGGGTATTTGTCCCCTTGTGCTGAATCTCTGGCCAGAGCGAGAGCACATCTCCTGACTGAGCAGGAGGTAGCACTTAGCCACCAGGTGAAAAATCTCTGGTGTGGCCGTTGCATTGTGTGAGGGAAAGCTGTTTACCCTTATTTAGAGACTAGGGGCTGTTAGGCCACAGGTGAAGAATTTTTCAGCCAGGAGAGACTTCATTAGAGCAGACTGTGGGAGTGCAGCTTCAGGGTGTTCCTCACATACTACCAGTCTACCTGAACTTCTACAGCTGCTTCTCTCAGCTCCAAACCAGAAAGTGAAACACTTCGGACGACACGACAGAAACGGTCTCAGTGTGACTGCACATGAAACTTAATGTGACGGTGTTCATGAAACTGATGAAGTGCTTTTGATCTGGTGTCAGTATGACTGGTTCAGGAACTCTGAAGGCACAGAAGGTGCTGAGCTACCTGAGCCTTGTATTAGGCCCAAAGAGAATCGGCTGTTCAGATGTGGACTTTGTGTTTTAGAGTGAAAGGCTGAAAACTTGGATACACAAGTATTTTACGTCATTCCAATTGAAGTTTTCTGTAGAATCTGAGAGAAGCTGTCTGATAGACCGTGTTAATATGCCTTCACATAGGCATGGCGAAATAATAAAGGCATCAACAAGAACAGCAGTCTAGTTTGGATTGGAGAGCCTTGTGAAAATGACCTCAGCCGTTGCTCTGGCTTTTTCCATTCTACCACCAGCACACCTGATTTAACCTAATGAAATATTGGTTGACCACTTTTGATTAATGTTTATTTGTATTGTTTTATTGTTAGTGTTTTCCTGAGCAAATAAATGCTTACAGCTCAATATATATTTTTTCTCCAAGTAGCTTGGCGGCACAGTACTGTACACAATACTGTTCCTTCAACACCTGTCTGCTCATCTCATCTCAGACCTGTCGGCATTTGTGACCATGTGGCCTTCCCAAATCACATGACCTACCAAGCAGTCAGAAGCGCGAACCGTAGCATGGAGGTGCTAACGGTCGACGAGGCGACAGGTGTTTGTCGTTCACGGGGCAGGCACACTCATCTCTGCTCCCCTCTCTCCTTCCCTCCCTCCTCCACCTTCGCACTCGCAGGAATACCGCAGGGCAATCTGAAACCTCCCAGTTTGGAGCAGAGGAATGTGGCTGACCGGTATTAGCATGGCTAAGAAAATAAACAGGGCAGCGCTCCATGGGCGTGCTGCTCTTTGTAGTGGCTTTGCAAAATGAAGCTTATGTTTCAAAGGAACTTTAGCGAGGCTGTATGTTTTCGGTATAATTTGAGACGCTATAAAGCCTCGAATTTACACCTCTGACTCGACTGGAAACACATAATTTGACTCGATCGCTTTCAACATGGCAACCCAAACAGTTTTAAACGCACCTACGTGCACATGCCCACATTAGTTGTGAAAGAGTAATTCTGTTTACTGGCGTGTGTTTTGGAGAGCTGGTAGGTGTGGTAGGTGTTGTGGACTTTATTTGGCTAATGAATGTTCAGTTACTGCATTGGGCTGTTTCCCCACCTTAAGTCATGGAGCATGTAATCATTTAGGATTTGAAAC